TTGTGATATCGAGTAGGAGATGGTTGCAAATGAAACTCTGGCTGCTGCTTCACCCCAGGTTCCTCAGCCTTTAAACACATAGATGTCCATGCAGTTTCAAACCCCTAAACGTCGAGCAACATGGCATGATTAGATCAGATCTGTGTATCTTGCTTCGATTCTACTCCTTGGATTCACTTTCATTCTCTTATAGTATGTGTTCTAGCCCGGGGAAAACGCTCCTAGCTACTTACGCTACTAGTATGGACGCAGGATAGCTCACGAAGCTCCCCCCACCTGAGGGCCGGGAGCTTCCTTGAAGAAGCGCTCGCACTAATGATTTGGTTCCTAGATCTTGAGGGAAACTTGACCTTTCTTTCTTTCTCTTGTTCTGGAATGAAGAGTCTTCGATCAGAACTCGAGAAAGCCCTTGCCAGGCCAATGTGGAGGTCGATATGTTTCAGGGGTTTGGTGAGCATGCAGATTACAAGGGAAGAGAGTTGAGTGGATTGGTCTGTTTGTGCAAATGCTGAATGGCAAGCTTCTGCAGCATGAAAGTCGAGGCTGACTGGACTGAACTTTCAGAAGCTTACGGGGTCAATCTCCCAATCACTCTGTAGGCAACGCTTGCTCAGTCCTGGTCTTGCTACAGAAACCGGTTGGTTAGGAAGTGGATCCTCACCCGCAATACTGTAAGATGTGTAAGGGATTGTATTTGGTTGACGCACAGTCTTCCCTATGCCGGAGTGCTGGCACCTGCTCCAGCATCCCCCTGTAGGACACCAGGCGAGCGTCGCTGGCCTCCGCCAATGGACTGTCAATGGTCAATCAGCAATAAAGTCGATAAAAGAACGAAATGGTCCAAAAAACCCGGAAGAAATCGTCTGTGAATGCCCCTTGTGCACCTCAATCTCCGAGTCATAGAGGGACATCAACCTGGGCTGGAGGCAAATCGGCTCAAGGTTGGTTATCGCATTCAGGTCAGACCGGTAAGCCGACCACTAATTACTCAGTTCAGAAAATGGATGGCGAGCCTCCACGATGTTCACCAGTGCATTGACCAAATCCTTTGGCTCTTCCTGACTCATCTGATCTCTGGTGAACTTGCACGGCTGAGGCTCCAGCTCCTCCAACTCCTCAGCCTCTGGATCTCTCTCTCTCTCTCTCTCTCTTCATGGTGAGAGATACGATATGATACAATCCCAGAGTCAAGGGCACAACTTGCGCAAAAAAAGCATCACATCTCACAGAACTCGACGAACAGCCACACAGAGTTTCCCTTTTCATACCCTTTTGCTTGCGATCCACATTGATTGGTTGGGGGCCACGCTGTCCAAAGTCTTTTCCATAATAAAGTACAGTATTTTGATGTATTTTGCATCATTGGAGTCCTTCCATCCCCAAATCGAGATGCTTGATCCGTACCACTGTACTAATGTCAGCCTTTCTCCCACAATTTCCCTGAAGGATGAAGGCCCAGTATCACCACATGATGCCATATGAGTGATGAGGAAAGCATGAGGAAAGCATGCCACAGTCGGAGAACCAATCAGTGAGTTCCACCTAAAAAACATATTTAAAAAAGAAAAACGTGCTGCAGTCAAGTGACGCCAAGTGCCACTCTCGCTCTGACTCTATCTCTCAATATCTCTCAATTATCAACAGTACCAAGCAAAAGCTATAAGACTACTGGTGGAGATGTAAGTACTCTATCACTGCCCTCCATGCGCTTAGATGTATTGACCTGACCTCGTTTGAAACTGGGCGGTGCCTGCTTGGCGGTCTGTGACTCATAGTCCTTCTGTTGCTGCAGCTCCAGGAGCTGAACCTACACTTTGCGTTTTGGAGGGGATTTCTATCAGCACACCTCACTTCAAACCTCAAACAACCACTTGGCCTCTATAGATCCAGCTTGACATGGAGATTCAAGCGTCAGAAAACTGTGATCAAAAGCTGCCTGCTTTCTAAAGCTCCAAAGGGACACCCAATACTGCAAACCAACTCATGCCGCAAACATCATTAGCATTCATTGTGGTCTAAAACCACAAAGCGCATAGCCAAGCAGCCCTTGAGCTGGCAGCACTTGCTGCCAATATCGCTTGCTTGCTACTGAGCAAATGGGAACGATTGAATGTCCTTGCCATTGCAATACTTGCAGCATAGGTAATGGCACAACTGTTCGAGGTTGGTAGCGATTATGATTTCTTGTCAAACTTCTGTGGAGCATGAAATTGATCGAAGCCCCTTGCCTGGAGTTGCTGCCACTTTCGGACAGACTCCAGTACTGGAGCAGCCCGGCCCGATGGGGCAAAGTCAGCAGGCACCTGCGAATGCATTTCAGCGGCTGAAAGAATGACCCCTGACCTCCCCTGACCCTCTGTTCGTCATGGAAAAGTGGTTCAATGGGTTGCGGGTCTGCATCTTTAAGCCAGAAACATGGAGAAGCAAGCGGTTTAAGTGGCAGGAACGGCTGACATATGCTGACATGCTGTTTGATGAACTGCTTCAGTCTTGTTCCCATGTACCCCAAAGTGCGTAGGGTCAAGATAAGCTTCGTGATCAATCTCTGCTCTTCCCTGTCAAGGTCTCCAAGCTATATAAACACATTCATAATATTCATACACATTGTCATATCTGCCAGTCATTTTATTCAGGCTCCGTGAGTTCATTGGATGAGCGCAGCATCAAAGCCGGCTACCTACACCTTGGGCAAAGGGTCAACCAGCTCTATCAACTTCTGTGTCTTCGTCTTCTGTTTGAGACTTGTGCCTCTTTGTATTGTTGCCAACCGTCAGCAGTTGAAGACTGCTTATATATACTGTATGTATATACAAAATTGTACAAGTTTGTGCAACCTTGCAGAACCAGCCCTTCTCTGACAAAAGTGATACCCAACCAAGATCGAACACTTACACTGAAAAAATGATTCTATGGATCAAGCTGTGATTCACTCACGACCAGCAACGATGGAATCATCTCCTGATGCTGAATGGAAGTCTTGGCCAGTCTTGGGTCAAAAAGCGTAGCATTCCGAATATAAAGCCAAAAGCCTGTGCCTGCTGCACAAGATCAAGCAAGACCGCATGCCATGAAGCCTCGCGGATGTCACGATACTCACAGAACAAATATCCCCAAGTCTTTCCAGTCTGGCAAGGATAGTATGGCTCATGGTAATCTTGGAGAACACCATGTTATGTCTCAAGTGTTATGGTGTCTGAGATGCTCTTTCATGCTGTCTGCACCGAAGCCGAAGCTCAACACATAATGTGTGCCCAAGTTCCAGCTGTAGTTCTGTGGCCAAAGTTGGAAACTTATGCAAGTTGCAAATATTCCTGCTACTGCTAGAGCTGGTTTGGAACTTGACCTGAACCTGTGCCTTTGCAACAACACAAATCCTGCTTAACAAGTGTGTAGCAAAACTTTGAAGAACAACCTCAATTGTCACATCTCCAGCAGGTTGCACGCGCACTAACATTTATAGAGACAGGTGGCAGGTGTGGCAACAGGGAAATTGTTTTCAGAGTACAGGGATGCAGGATGGGCTGTGGTGAGGTGAGAGATGAGAGATGAGATGAAAAGGATTTTTGACACAAGGCAAGGATTGTTCCAGTTGACATGTGTGAGATGTGTCTGTGTGTGTGGCATGCGTGTTTGTTAAAGGGTCCTAGGCAGCCAGTATCTTAAGAACCATCCAGGCTCGTCTCCCTTGATCCTTTCTCAAGAGTCCGGACGAAGCATCTCGAACAAAGCCACCTGGCAGCGAGACCAACCAGGTGCCAGCTACAATAGGTTGGTGTGTGAAGCAACCTCAATTGAGGAGGATCATCTGATATCTGATGATATGTCCAAACCTTCAGCATGTTTCAGCCACAGGGCTGCTAAGGATCGTGGACAAGGTGGGCCTACGTGCACGCTAGTGAAGTGATGAATCCACAGTCATGTCGTTCTGCAAACAGGAGAAAAGTGATATGGACGAGAACTGACACGGCATCAACTCTTCGTATCTAATTGTGCTAGGCAACCCAAGCAGGACAATCAATCCATCAAATGCATTCTTGGGGAGTATTGGCACTCAGGAGTATTCATTCCCCATGTCCAAAATTAAGACAAAGACCTGTTTCAACCCTTCCAAAGAACCAGCCAGCTTCAGCCTTCGCGGCACCTTCCGATGAAGCCACATCGTGCTTCCGCCTAGCCTCTTGCAAACCATCATCGGGCGACAGTTGTATCCATATCTATAATCTATATCAATAGTCCCATCCAGGCATCCATGCATCCATGCATCCAGGCATCCATGCATCCATGCATCCATCCATCCATCCATCCTTCCATTCCATTCCATTCCATTCCATCCATACATTTATGATTGTCCCAAAGCTTTGTTTGGTCTGCCGGAATTCACTGAAACCTGTGCAGTTCAGTTCAGGGTCCTAATTATCTTTCGATGGATTCTGAATCCCCTACTTGGGCACATGCGGGATTCGACTCCCAAAAAGGAGCTTCATAGTGCTACACTCCACCAGGAAGCTACTAGGAACAAGTGCATCGCTTCTAGTAACAAGTGCCTTACTAGTAGTAACAAGTGCCTTACTAGTAGTAACAAGGACCAATGGAAGTTGTTCCTGTTTGATCGATGTCCTCCGCCAAAACTTCAGCGACAATTACAAGTGGACACAGCCAGCACTTCGTTTATACACGTGCTTGAAGTTGCAGTAGAATTCCAAGAACACCTCACAAACAGGTACAAACAGTAGCAACGTTCAGCAGGTTTTCTCGCATTTCTCGGGATGAGAGCTCTTTCCATGGCATTCTGGGCATTTCAATTGAACCAAACATGACCAAACTCTGTTCATCGAGGCTGTGGTTACACACTTGCTCAGATTGCCAGTCGCCCGATGTCCAAGCACTGAATGAGGTCCTTCTTAGTCCTTTTCTATTTTCTGTTTGTAAAGCAAATAGCGATGGCCTTCAAGATAGCGATGGCCTCCAACCTACTTGCAGCCTAGACTCGTTCCATGAAAGAGCAATTCCTTTTCCAGTGCTTGGACCGATGGCTACAAAGCTGTGCAGACGAGCCAAGACTTGACTAGCGCGTCTGGGACAACTCCTAAGGACTCCAAAGAAGTATGGACTCCAAGGTATGGACAATCTCTTCCAAGGGGGGGTAGGAGCAAGGACGCTACTAGGGGCTCCTGGCATCGCTACTAGGAACAAGAAGCTATTAGAAACAAGAAATAAATATAGATATATAGAATATTCAGCTCCACTCTAAGTGGTGCACCGGAACCCGTTCACCATGGTTCACCCCTTTGGGTCGTTTCAAAGATGGGCCTCAATGGTGGGATCTGCCAGCTCTGCCAGTTTCCCCACACTTACAGGTCTCAGCCCACGATCTGAAAGCTGCTTCAAAAGCTCTTCAATGCCACGCAGGCACCACTCCTGGGGGTCGCTGTTGATCTGCGACATGGCAAGAAAGCAAGCTCAGACTTTCGTACGCTATGTAGAAATACAAAAAGATTTGCACAAACTCTTCTCGTGCTCTAGCAGATTCTAGCATGCAGTCCGGAGGACGTGTTATAACCTAGATTCACCCTGTCCACCGGACTGCATACGGCCGATCACACAAAACATCGGACCACCAAGCTTCTCGGAAACCGTGTTCGGGCATGTGGATCACGATGATTGACCCATGCTCCGCCTGTTTTCCCAGGAAACTACCAATGAAGTCTCCATCTTGGATCACCGGGCAGCAGGCGTAGGTGTCGCACATGACATTAGTCAGACGTCGATCCTTCAGGACCTCCGACATTGCCTAAGTTGCTAAGCCACCACCCTTCGAAAAAGGAAAGTTGGAAGACGCCACATTCAAGCTCATTCATGAGTTCTTGGTGATGGGAACTTCAACAAAATAACAATTAAACGAATGTAAACAACGTCCGTTCAAGTTCACGCCGAATGGCAGCACTCAATTTTCCATGCGGGGCACGGAACCACCTTACAGTTTCTGAAAGGCCAGCTGAGCGTTGTAGGTTGACAATTTTGCTGGAGCACTCATCCAGAGCTGCAGCAAAGTCTTCTCGGGAATCATTGGCATAGCTCTTATCGACCAGGCCGTGATTTCCCAGCTCATGACCTTCCCGAAGTAAGGACACCTGGATTGGTGGAAGGGTCAGAACTGGGATAAGCTAAACAAGATTTTGACGTGCATGTTGCCAAGCTGACAAAGGTTTGGTACGAAAAGCTCCAAGCAAGTAAAGGTTTTGGAACCAAGAAGCCAAGTCAGCTTCATTACCAGGAATGAACTTGCCCATCAGCATGAAGGTCGCCTGAGCCTAAGGCGATTCCAGCATTGCATACTAACCTTTAAAAGAACGTAAGCCTATATTCAGGGAGGAGGAAGACATCCTTCACATCCTTCACGTATTGTTTTGGATGTATCCAGCACTGGCAGACCAAAGATGAACCGGAAAAACACGCCTAACTAACAATGCAAAAAGTTGCTTGCCAGCAAAATTAACTCATAGATTGAGACGTGTCTGGCTGACTAACCTCTTTCAATCGATCTGATCTTATCTCATTGTCGCAATCCTGCCTTGTGCTTCTTTAAAAGGTCTCTGACGTGCGGTATCCTTGGCTTCTGCACTACACTCGCACACACTCAAAGGGTCGAGTGTTCCGTGATGATCGGATTTCCAAAGTGTTTCCAACAGCGCCTCCTAATCAGCTCCCAATCGTTAAAGGTAAGTACACTGGTTCTGAAAAGCAAGTGGCATGGGCCAGTGGGTGACTCGGCGGTTCCCACGTGACTCCACATTGTCCTATGTAAGAATTGCCGGTGAGTTGAAAATTGGACCCAGAACTGCTGCTACTAGGAACAAGTGCATCGCTAGTAGTAACAAGTGCCTTACTAGCAGTAACAAGAAGCTACTAGAAACAATATAATCAAATTGCACCATGTACCACACCTCGGCTCAAAAGGATTCCCCTTCAACATCGTTGCTCTCCAAGTCTCATGGAGTTCTTAGGCCCCAGGCGACAAGGCACGTCGTCGATCGTCAAAGCGACGTAGTTTTTCACTCCAGGGTGTTCATCAACATCGAAGTAGCACAATGAGTCCCCATAGAGCCAGGAAACTGAATTTTTGATCGCAACCTTGAGCACAAACATACACAAAAGGTCTCAAGTGGTTGAAATCTATGCTCTCTCGGCAATTGGTCAGTCATAAGTATTTACAGCAATCAGTTGTATGATTTTGGGATGATGGAACCACTGGCAGGTGCTGGCAAGTGTTGGTGCCAAATGAGTGGCAAAAAGTTGCAAGAGGTGCGCATGTCTTACTGTACATGCTCTGTGTCTTTACATTTAACATGCTTAGCTGTTTACTCATGAAAAATCATCGAACGCCCCCCCCACACACTGCTGCCAAACTTGTCCAATCAGCTCCAAGAGGCTCTTGAGGCCAGTTTGTCCCACAGTAGCTGCAAAGCCCTTGGTAGACCTACCAGGCTTTCTTCTGCTTGGCTTGTCTATCCACAGGTCATGCGACATACTATTTTTTTCAACCCTAGAGGGAAAACACCGAACACGCAGCACCAAAGCTTTTAACAACTGAGCATTTCATGTGTAAACGTGAGCCGTTCAACAAAGCCGCCATATGTGTCCTTTGTAAACGTGAGCCCCTCGTCATCCCATGCACCGGTGAGTTCACTCCCCCACTCCTTTGACACTTTTTCCATCCCTGTTAAACCAGGGCGTGGGTGCCAGGCAACTTTGTACAAGTCACGCACATTGGGGGCCCAAAACTTCCTGGCCACTTGGATGCCTGGTTGTCGAACATGTTGAACTACTGAATAGTGAAAAAATCACACACAAATCGTCAAATGCTGAGCATTTCTTCCAAGAAGTGTGCCTGGCAGCCGCTCCGCGGGAATAAACGGGGCTTCACCCTTTTGCATCGCTTCCATTGGGCAGCTTTCAACATCACCGAAGCCCTCCAGTCGCGCAGAGATTATGAGCTTCGCCACCCCGACACCCTTGGGATCGAGAGCTGCCTAGGAGGTTTCGATGCGCAAGGTGTTCAAAGAAGTTTCACGTGATTCCAAACTTCCTCTGCAAGGTTTTGCGGTGCATCGAAAATTGACATTCTGAACCTTGTCAGTTTGGAATAGTTTGGATACATGTTGGAGACAAACATGGACTATGACCATGTGCTTTCCTGCATTCTCCTGAAATTCGTGTCAAGGTGCCGTGCAGCACTTGGTCACATGGCCTTCAGGATCCAGAAAGACTTTGGACCACCAAAGCTCACTATATCGCCTTAGATCTTAGGTTCATTCCAGAGGAGCAAGCAAGGACACTACTAGGGGCGCTCCTGGCCTTACTAGGAACAAGAAGTAACAAGGGCATCGCTACGAACGGAGCGATCGGACACTCAAGGGTGCTCCCAATCAATAGCGTCCTTGCTCCTAGTGCAAAGCCAAGCCGTTATCAAACTATCAGAGTCTGGCCCTAATGTCTCGCCAAGTGAGTCGCTGATCTGCAGCAAGTTGGTCTTCAAACTCTTCCCAATAAATCTTCAGGCCGACAGAGTAGCCCACTTTCCATGTATGGGCCTGTAGCGGCTGAGGAGGAGCCGTTGATGCATTCTCCAAGAAACAACCCAAATGCTGCGTCAAGCTGGCAAGGGATTGCCCACTTCCTCAGTGCAAAGGCAAGTGCATTGCCCACTTTGAGTATTTTTCAGGGAGCAAACAAGTTGCTGGTACAAGCCCTACTTAGTAGATCTTATATAGTAGTGAGATAGCTCCAACTTGATCAGGGATGAGAGATCGACTTAATGCCCGTCCAAACGATATTCTCAATGTTCACACAATTCTGCCAGGTCCTTCTTGAACCACTCTTTCATAGCAAAAGGTCCGCTTACCATCGCTTAGCAACTGATAACGTCTGAAAGCAAAATCGCAAGTCACCATCTACCTCAGTACACCTCAATTCACCGACGAAGCACCGAAGGCTCTCTCCAGTAAGGGTCTGGAAAAAAGCTCACCACTCAGTGCACCCCAGCCTTCCCAGCCATCAGAGCTGCTCATCCAGTGCTGCATGAGGCACCCACTTCTCTATCAGTAAAAATGTGCAACTGGATCAAGTTAGATCACGGGGCTTTCCTTGCTGATGAATTTGTTGATTCACAAAGAGTCGCAAAGGACCGGATCAACTTGTTGGATTCTGGGTCCGCTTTGTCAGCAATTAAAAATATGAAGCAATTGAACACGTTTGAACAGCTATGCTGTTCCTCACATTCTCTTTGGCTTTGTAGGAAATTGCATGTTTCATTGGCTGGGCATACCGTTTGCTGTGCGGCCTCTCTATCAGAAAACAGAGTTCCCAAGCCTGGCCTTGGTGATATGGAGTGTGTTCGATGTGGCGCATTACTTCCAGATGTATGTTTTGGTCTACTTCTGAGCCGAATCAAATCGCCAGAGTCAAGCCGCTTTCAAGACATGGGTGTGCAGACAAACAAACACTTTGTCTTTCACGTGATCATCAGCTGAATAAGAACCGTATTGTCGCATGTTCCATGCTGTTGTTTTCTGTTCTCCCTGATTGCTGCTTTGTTTGATACCACTGCTCGCCCTTTGATCTTAAGGTTTCCCAGTAAAGTGCCTACGCGCCTTGTCACTTCCCATCAGCTATGTTCAATGAAAAAAACATGAATGGCGAGGGGGTTCAAGGAGTTCACTGTTGCATTTTGAAGCTGAGGCTTAATTTGGGGTTTAGTAGCTGATCCACTTTGCTAATTATTCATCTGGCAACACAGTTTGGATTCGGAACGTAGTACAAAAGCAAGGAGGTTGGAAGAATAGAGAAAACATATGAAGTACATAGGATGTATGCACGGGTCGTTGAGACCCCAATATATATATATATAATGGAAGTGTACTGTTCCGTGCAAACCTGATCCTTGTGTGAAGTAGATACTCCGCAGGGCGATTGAGCCAACGAAGTAAAGCTGAGATTGCAAAGGGATGCCAAAGACTACTCAATGACTGTGTATTTATGTTGCAACTATGGGCACTCTCAGAAACAAGAAAAGCTCGACCGAAAGTACGTGTTTAGCCTATGATGCATTTGATGTGGCATCCATATCGAAACAAGAACGTAGTGCAACTTTTGTCCGCTTTCTTCGAGGATCAAACCTGGTCAAAGCTCTCTCCACTGCTTCAACGCGTTCTGCAGCTGTACCTGAAACACAAAAAAAACTGATCTGCTCAAACAAAGTTGTCCAAATCCATGCAATGCAAACCAATAGCCATCATAACAATGCACAGGCAACTTGTGCATACATCGTCTAAATTGATCGCTCTGTTACACTGTTGATCATTTTAGAAATATCTTAAACAGTTCTGAAGTCTCGTGCTGAAGTTCAAGGGGCACTTGTATCTCGTCGGGAGGGTTTTGACACTCCCAGCATTCAAGGCGGCAGCAATTCCTGGTCCATCCAGTTTCATCCCTCCTTGTCATGTATTCTTTCATGATGGAGACAAGCATAAGGAAAACAACAGTCCTCTTTGTGTAAAACTCGTTTATCTGATTGACTTGCTAGTGACTAGTGCTCCTCCTTCTTGAATGTTACTACACCCTTGTCAACGAGTTGTTCAGGCACTTGTCTCTGACCACATTTCTCTTGACATGGACAGTTTCAAGATCTTTTGCTATTTTGCTGCAAAAGGCTTTACGAAAGAGACTGCTTTGGCGTTTCATCCGTGCATTTCACACCTCCAGTGGGCATAAGAGAGGTGCCTGGCAAGTTGTCTCATGACCACGGTACTAATGCACTATTCGTCTATGCATTAAAAGGTGCCCTGCTTTGCTTGACAGAAACCAAAAAAGTGTATAAGATTGTATAAGTTTCCCTAAAAATTTAGGAACCACATCACTGGTGCAGCTATCCTGCGTCCTGTCGGTAGTAGCTATTAAAACTACTGGCTACTCCCTAGCTACTTCCTACCTCCTAGCGGCCTACCCCTCCCTTTAAAATTTAAAAAAGAAAACCGATTGTTTTGATTCCGAGCAATGTGGGTCACGGCGTCACATCCACAAGCATGGCTGGTGTTCTTGATCTGTGGACATTCGAAGCCCTCACTTTCAAAGATGTGATGAAGGATGCATGCGGCTGCCACGCTCCGGTGCTTCCCCCGACGGCAGTACCTCAAACAACCGGGCAGTACCTCTTGTTTCCAGGAGAAAGACCAAACGTGCTTGACTCATGCGGACGATGGCTTTCTCTACAATCTTGGCTTTTTCCTGGCATAACACACACATATATATATATAGTGTCTCGAGGAACTCACTCTCGAGGAACTCACTACTTACTACTTGTCTATAGTCTACCTTTTACTGTATATGTCTCTGGAGACATTCATGATTCCCTGATCGCTTCTGACCACAGCTGAGGAGCCAGCACTGCCACGGATAAGCTCTGTGGTGAAGGTGAACCTTCTGAACAAAAGTCGCTCCTGCCTTGAGACATCTCCTTACATCTCATGCTTCAGCGACCTAGTGACCTAAGGTACTGGCGGAAAACAACCATTACAGTACTCAGTGGAGCGACGTATGGACCGGCGTGTCGGCGGCCTCGCTTGCCAACGCTCATGAAAGCCTGAGGCAGATTGCAGGATTGTCGTAGCCCCTCTCGGATTAGAATTCTCAACGAACTGGATGGTTGATTCTTATGACCGGAGCATCTAGTTAATAATTGAATCACTCCACTGACATTATAAATGACGATAAAGTGGTAGATGGTCTTTGAGAGCTATGCATATCTACTTTGCCGCTGTACATCATGGACCAGAGTTGGAAATAGCTCATTTTGACTTTCAGCACCTCTGCACCTGCTTTTCCTCAAAACGCCTAGAGTGCCTGCCTCCTTGAATCGTCTCTTCGCATTATTCAGCCAACTTGGGAAGTTCCTGGAAGTAAGCTGACTTGCATTGATTAAGCTAAACTCAACCAACACTATTTCAAACAACACCATCCGGAAAGCTCCTGTGATCAGCTGTTTTCAGCATAGCAGGTCCGCAAATCAAGCGTGGAGATCGGTGGAGACGCACTCATTACGTGAACACTGCGATCACGCCCAGCAGCATTATTTGAGTGTATGGAGTAATGCGCATGTATGGACATGAAGTAGGACAGTCGGACAATCAGTTATTGGTTTCCTCTCCTGTGCTGGCATAGCCGCGTGATGATGCGGTGATGTCTCCCTGAATGCCTCACAGAGTGGAAGCGAGGCCAAACCTGCAGGATACAGCATACTAGTGTCGTTTTGCATTAGCTAGTGGATTTTGAGGAGGCATCATGCAAACAGTGATGGTGCAGAAAAAAACATACAGAGACACATCCGTCAGGAATTGATTTCAGATGTCAGTCAGGCCAAGCACGGGAATGTCAAACTCCCAACGTCACAGGGATGACAGCGGGGAGGCTTTTGAGACAACAGGGATGAACCGCCCAAAGTGGAATTTTGATGAACTTTGCAGCTTTCTTGTGCAAACATTGAACGAAGTGGCCTAGCCAAAAGGGTTCTAGTTGCAAATGATTGCTGTGTTCTATCATGTTCTAGCTAGTAGCACAAAAAACCTGTGATACACTCCAAGATACGCACAACACCAAGTGTTCGAGACATGTGTATGTTGTGTCTACGCACTCTCTCAAGCTAGTGGCTGAACGATCCTATCTCGAGGAACGAAAGCAAAATTCCAAGCTCCGGAGCTCTGATGCGCCTCGTCAGCAAGGCTGCATCAGGATCAGGAAACCTCAGAATTCGAACCTTCCTGGCCCTAGCTGCTCCAGGAGGGTTCTAATGTGTTTCCAAATAGCCCGTCTTATCGTGTTTCCTTGCGCACTACTTCCCACTAAAGTTAGTCACCCCAGCCCCATCTTGCCAGAGATTTCAGTGCGATTAAGCCGTAAAGTTTGCTTGTTTTGGTTCAACACCATTGTGACATTGTCAGTGATGTTCAAAGTTGTTTTCCTTCCATGGCCCTACTCAAAAAGCAACCTTGAAGTACTCCTAACTTTACGAAACAGCGTCCTTGGCGCAGTATTTCTGCGTCTGAGGGGCATTCGTGCATCCAGAATCACATCGGAGGGAAAATTCCTCACGGCGGCGGCGGTGCCAGGTGGGACCCCGTGGGCCCCATGCCGGACAAGCTAAGAGTCCAATGTTGAGGGCATGCATCACTCAGACTCAGAAGTCGTTTCTTAAGTAGGCGACAGTGCACTGAGCATGAGAACAGCCTTGGGCTTTCCAGTCACCAGGGATCAGGCTGGCGAGTCAATGCATCAGAGATCTCGTGCTCATGGATGTGCGCATGAGCACCCCCACCTCGCAGGCGGCAACTTACGAAACCAACTGAAAATACACAGTTGAAGCAGGCAGCAGCTGCAGCTGCGGCTGCTCAATCGGTTCACGGCCTTTTGCAAATCTGTAGTGATAACCCTCAACAAGAAGCTGCTCTCAAAGGATTTTGGAATACGATGACGACTGCTGCTAGCAACTAGTAACTAGTACATCCAAGCCTAAACTGCTTCTCTTGAGGTTTCCAATAGTCTCCACCTGGTATTTCGGGAGTTGGGTTTACATGTCCAAAAGCAGCACCACTCACACGATCTTGCACGCCCCTGTGCCATCCTGTGCCCTTGCCGACCATGCTTGCTTTCATACACTTCTGATCCACATACGCTTGCACCATCCTACACCCCTACTCTCATCTGACCTAATAGCAATGGCCTCCAACCTACTAGCGATGGCCTCTGACTCAGACTCTCCAAGACTTTGGGACCTTTGGGATATGCTCTCTCGGCCGGGCTCGTCTGCTGGGTGTTCCCCGCCAAGCTCATTGCAGCGATCCGCCAGCTCTCCATCCAACGCTTCCAAGCCAAAGGTGGCCTTGGTGGTAAGCTCCGTAACTGATTCTACAATGGGATGTCCACTGAAGAGGAATGTATGGACAGGGAGAAAACATGTACAGTACACACCATCTGACATTCAAACTAATCTTGCCAACTCATTGCAGTGGTTTATGTTTTGTCTTCCTGAGCTCGTCTTTGGACCACCATTGTTGGACGTCCACCAAGGCACCACCAAGATGCGCATGCGCATGTCACCATCCGGCTTGTCTGCTGGTTCTGCACAAGCAGCAGGCTCCTGTTTTTCAACCCCTGCACCTCTCCATGGATGGATGATGTGTGACAGCAGTGGAAAGTGCGTTGAAAGCAAAGTCGAAGCATATGGAAGTCCATGGAAACCTGCTGCCAACGATGTTGCCCCGCTTTGGGGTATATATGTCGGTATAAAGCTCGATGAATGAATACTGTTCTCAGTTGTGATTCGAGTCCACTGTCGCTGCAGACTCTAGGTGTCAAAATGACTCACCCAGGGCAAAAATACTTTACAGGCTCATGACTGAAATTCATTGATGGATTTGGGATACCGAGTTCTTGTGAGGGTAAGTGGCCAACTCAACATCATTGAAGGCATTCTAGGTTGCTAGGAGAAGACACGGACAGAAGACTTGCAAAGAATCTCAACCGATTGGTGCTTTGAGGTCTTGTTTATGTTAGAAGCCATTGCATGGATGTTTGTGATTGCCCCGACAAAGTACATAATCATGTGATGCTTCTTCATGACCATATGCATTTTCTGGGTCCGACAATCAGTATATTCTGGGACTCCATTCATCTCCATTCACACTTGATCCTTGCTTGCCCATTTGCACGGGTTCCAAAGGTGCTCCAAAGAGCCACCAGCCTTTCACACACACACAAAAGCCACGCAAAGGAAGCGTGGAAGTAAAGTCCGCATCCCTCATGAAAGCAAACACCCCAAGCTTGTGAGATCCATGCTCAAGGAAAACAAAGATGTATCAATACCAGCTATATACGAGTAATTAACATGCAAGGATGGGTAGTACGCTTGGTCCGGACGCTGGAATCATCGTCCTTCTCCTTGTCTTTGGGGCAAGGTTGGCCTCGCACTTCGATTCAGCCGATTCGGCCAAACATCATCCGTATGGGAGAAAAGGTCACAGATTACGCTGCATGACTATGATATCCTACTATCCTGGATCAGTCTATCGCCAGGTCACTTGGCATATCGGCCAAACAAATCTCCTCTAACTCAAAGCAATATTATGGGCTTTTCTTAGGGTCCTCCTGCTCAAGAACTCGCTTCACGTTAATGTAGTTGGTTAGCCTTTAACCGACAGTGTCAAATTGAGACTTGGTTTCAATGATAATAGTGCGAGGCTTTTTGCAGCATCTTTTGATGCCCGGCAGTGGTTTCTGAGTCAAAGCCTTTGTGCAAATGTACGTCGACAGGCTGGCTTGCTGGAGATTCTCAGGAAGACGGCCGAGGTCAGTCTTTCCATCTGTGAGAGGGCTCTTTGCCAGTGTTTCCGTGAGTCTTCACGACCACGTGTAGTAAACGTCTTGGCCAGTGCCGACGCAACTGTCTACAATGTCAAATACATGTTGCGTTGACAATGACACCTTCTGTTGTTGCTTGCCACAGGCGTTATCAAAGCGAATCATGTAGAATTACAGTAGTATGCCCACAGCAATGAAACTGCTTGCTCAACTTTGGCGACGGGCTTGTCAAACTTGGTCATTTCTCATTGCCCCAAATCTGCCAAAGCCATTAGAAGACCAGCAGAAACAGCTTCAATTAACGAGCATCCGTCCGGTTCGCAATGATCAATTGGCACTTAGCCTCACCAACCATGGACTTTCACCATCGAAAATTGGCAGCTGCAGTCTCGTGTGTCTTCAAGAAGATTAGCGGGTGTTGGTAAATGACTGCCGCCCCTGAAGGAGCTTGGGATGTCGTTTGTCAACTCTTGTCTAAAAGGCATCCCAGAAAAAAAAAAAGAAGTTCAGAACACAAATAAATACCAAAGCCTGCACTTTGTTGCTGATCTTTCATGACGGTTGTCCTTTGTCTCAATGAACTCAGTTGCCAGTGGTCGATCTGCAGAGGTGGCTTACTGCTTGATCCAAACCTCGCCGTGGTTCCAGGTGATGGTCGCTTGTGCATCCAATGAGACCTCGCCATAAAAGGTCTGCCTCATCCTGAAATGCCCAGCGGCATGCAACTGGAGAATTAAAAAAGTACTGTATATATGTATATATATATACATATAACTTTATAACTCTATATAACCGTATGTATATAACTCCGAACAATGGGCACCCTCTGTTGGTCTCCATTGGTCAATCTGGCTGAATGCCCAGTTCCTGGACAAAAGACATGTATTGACATATTGTTTTTGTGCAAATGAACAATCTTTTAATGTGCAATCCAGGTGGCATTCGGAGTGACACCAGATTTGGCCCTTCCTGGACCACAAAGTGAACCGTGTCCTTGGCGTCTTTCGCTGGAATTCACGGGCCTACTGCCCACTTGACTAAAGACATGTCTGTTCCTCAAAATGTATCGCCCTTGCATCATGCGATTGGTGAGTTGGTTTCAACAGATGGCTGTTTCGCACGCCGAGCATCCTTTAAAGAAGTGTCATGATGAAAATAGACCTCAGAGCTTTGTATCGCGCAAATGCACCTCTCATTGCTTTTGAGATACCACTTCCCATCCTCAGTTCCAGCAACCAACAAACTCAAGTGAACTCAACTTGCTTGCCCTTCGGTGACTTTGGCCATTTGTTGCAAATCCGATTGCTCAAAATGGCCTTGCTTCACGGCTTTGAGAATTCACCAAAAAACACACCTTGAATAATATACCCAACAAAATGTGGACATACTTTAGTAGCTTTCTCCATGCGTCCAACGCCAGCAGAAGCGGCGAGACCTCCCTATGCACTAGTTCGTTGTCACGCCCGAATTCAAGTGGCGTGAGCTCCAAATCGAGACCTTCGCCTATGGACAGCAAAGACTCAGACATCCCCTTTTTTCAGGTTCCTTGTTGAGTGTCTTACAAGAACTGAGTTATATAACCAAACGAATGCAACAAAGGTGTTTACCAACAAACGGTTTACGGTTGTTGCTTGGAAGGCACGTAAATGACATCGACACATTGAACACCTGTGTGTCAACCACTTTTGGCCAAGCCTTTCACTCCAAGTGGACCTCCTTGAAACCGTAGGTCCTCACCTTGACAATGACAAGCACAATGCCCGGGCCCCGTATGTTTGCTAAGGCTGCCCACAGAAGCTTGAATGAATGCAGAATCTCCTTGAGTGAATGCAGCGTCCTAGGCTTAGCCCGCAAGAAACAAATACATAGGGTGTGGATGTTTAACGTTCCCGGGCCGGGATGCTTGACTATGATGCTTCGAACGTATACCTCGGGGGTATGTTTCGGGCTGTAAAATAGTAGCAATTTCAGAGGGTATGTTTCAGGGGCATGTGTCGGGTATGTTTCGCCTAAGTCGAGCATCCCCATTTTACATAAATTGGACAGGACATGTAAAAAAACACATGTAGAGACTTGGCAACATAACAGAAAAAAACGAGTACAGTACAATCATTTCCAAGAAAAGGACAACAAAACACAACAAAGTAGATACAGCATGATACAGTGATATCCAAGACGTCTTCCCAAAAGAATGGTCCACATGAATTTAATGGTCCACAAAGATTTAGCAGAGCAGCCTCTTAGTTCACGCCCTACCTATTCAATTACCTAGCTTGGTTCATTCGACTGCGTGGAGTGCAAAACGCTCTCTTCGAAACACTTCTTATGCAAGGTGACTGGGCCCCTTCCGGGATGGAGAAAAAGAGGGCGCTGTGCATTGGTTATTTGGTTCTATGCGTTTCTTTTTTTGCTCAAGACATCTTCATTGTTCCCCAGGCAAAGACAGTGTGGCAACACTAGGGGTTCTTACGATACGGCGGTAGGGGTTAAGGACGGTTGTTTGATCGAGGTGCTCATCGGCGCGTCCGGCTTTTTCCCTGCTATTCAAAATACATCCACTCACCTTGAGATCTTCGAAGTGCACTTCGACTGCGCAGGCTCGCAGAATCTGGTGAGCCGGCGCGGGCGCTCTTCGAGACTGTGCGCTCGTGGTGGCACTGTGCGCATTTGGAGGCTTGGTGATCACTTTTCGTGGCAGGCGGGCGGGAAACCTCGTCTATTGCAGGGGATCGGAGGGGCTTTGTGTCGATGCGCAGATTTTGTGGCAGGCGACGGCAGGCGCAGTACTTTGGACGTCATAGTGCAATCGTGACTTTTGGACATGTGGTTCGTTTTCAGAGAAATCAGAGGAAGTCTCAGGCGAAACCTCCGCTTTGGGATCTTGATGTCGTCTTTGGAAGTGCGCCCCCTGGACCTCTACCCCAAGATCTCTAGACAACTCTCTCCATCGCCACCACCGTCACCATCATCATCACAGTCACCGTCACCGTCACTGTCAGAATCAGAGTCAGAGTCAGGGTCAGAGTCACTGTCACAGTCACCACCACCACCACCACCACCACTACACTCAACCGCGGAAGTCACGCCAAGAGGGGGGTCCCGGCATAGTCCTTGCAAACACGCTGTTCCAGCATGTAAACGCGATGATTTGTGAATGCTTTTGGTGTGTTCTCCCCAACACAGTTCTCATGTATTCAGAACAATGTTCCCGCATGTAAACGCAATCATGTAGAAATGTCATTTAGCCATGTTGTGCAAAAGCGAGGTTCCCGCATGTAAGCGCGATGATTTGGCAATGTTTTTGATGCGTTCTGAAGCTCCATCCAAAGCACAGCTTTCATGTATTCACAACAAGCTTCTGGCATGGAAACGCAATGATTTAGCAATGATGTTAATCTCCTTGTGGTCCCTTGACATCTCTTTGGACCAGGCTCTGGACACTTTACTTGAATCACACAAGTTGCAGAGAGGGTGAACGAGAGGGTGAATGAGGTCAGAACCCGTGCCACCAAGGAAAGCCCTCAGAATGAAAACCTCTAGTTACCTCATATGACATATGTATATGCTCTCGCCCCTGTCCTTCGTTCTTTCTTTCTTTCATTCCTTCCTTCCTTCTTTCTTGTTTCCCTGCTTGTCTGCTGTGATCGGCGTTTTGTCTGCCGCTGCTGCCCACCTGCCTCCCACTCGTTTGCCTGTGCGATCGGCGTTTTGCTTGATCGTCGTGCTGTTTGCCGCTGCTGCCTTGTCTTCTCCCCAACTAAACGCAACATCGCCACGACTTCCACAGATTCAAATCCCCAAGTAAACGCTTCAAAAATTGAATGTCGCCACGACTTCAACATTTGAGAGTACTAGTACCATCACCGCCGCCACCATGACCGCCTTTACCACCACCATCACCACCTTCATCACTACCACTATCACCACCGTCACCTCTCTCTGGAGCCCAATGCGTCTGTCTAGATCTCTAGACTTTCTGCTTATGTACCTCCAGACCGTCAGACCGTAGACCTTGAGACACACTGTTTGGATTCTCTTGGCGCGAAGCGTTCACTTTGGTCAGCCAAAATGAGAACAAAACGGGCCAAAGTAGAGGCTAGAAAGACCACAAAAAACAAAAGATCTGAATTTCCTCTGCATCTAACGCACCAAAGGCTTCTGGGACTTGACTGTACTATGACTCGGGCCAGGATAGGTCGGATAGGACCAGGCTGGGTCGCACACCTACACATAGACTGATACTGGCGTTTGGATACAAATGCATAAATACAGGTGTGTAGATACAGGTGTTGAGAAGAAACAGGAGTACAAATACTGGTGAAAACACCTACAAAACTCGCGAAGCACAACCCACAGCGGAGATCGTGCGTCTCGGGACCGTGGGTCCTAAGCTTCAAAATGACCTCATGAAACCAAAAGGCAATGAGGGACGTCTTGTCAAGCACGTTATCTTGTCCGATGCTCACACTGTGAATCCATGTTCAAAGAAATTGCCCTCCAATTTGGAACGTGCCAAACAGAACTTTTTTCACAACGCTGCATCAAAGACTCATCTTCGGCGGTGTCTTGCGTATCGTCTTCAGCGGCAGTGTCACCAAAGGCTTTTTGAGGGATCACCAATTCCGTGGGCACCAGCACGCCAGGGAAATCCGCTTCAAATTCTTCACAGGATTCACATTTGCAGTGATTGCTACCCATGGCGCATTCCGAGGAACAGCATGTCCCAGCAACTTTTGGGCCAGATCTTCTGCAAAGCATCCTCCGTACATCGCCCTACTCTCATCACTACTAGGAACAAGTGCATCGCTACTAGTAACAAGTGCCTTACTAGTAGTAACAAGAAGCTAGTAGAAACAAGAATTATCATAAAGCAATAAAGCACAATAATACATCATAAAGCATGTGTGGTCATTGCCTACATCGTGCAGGTCGGTGATGGGAGCAGCTGCCAACGGTCCCCAACGACAGCTCAGTTGAAAAACATGGTCACAAGGGTGGATTGTAGACCTACCACCTGGAGTGCGACCAATCTTGAAATTGTGATTTTGTAGCAAGCTGTATGTATTACTGTACAGTCTTGCTGTATAGTCTATTGCTTGAACACTAGAGGCACAGCACAGCCTCCGATTAGCCCTGTGTAGTCTTTCGGAGCAGATCATCGTATTGCACTTTCGCTGTTGAGTGGAAAAACAACAGAAGGTTCCATAACATGAGGTTCACAACAGGGTTGGGCTTTGATCTTGATGTGCCAGACAGCTGTGCTCCTTCGGTCCTTCAGTTTGATCTGTCGCTGATTGCTGATGTAAACAATCAAATCAAATCCGACTGAAAACACATGAAAACAAAGCTCTCCGCAGTGCCTCTTACTTTCAAGCGTGTCTCTGGAGAGTTAAAGACATGTCTCATTTCTTGCGGATTAATAACAGCGCCCCTGATAGAAGTATGTCAGTGTGTCAGATTATGCATCGTTTTGTCTGTTCTCACTGTCACTAAACTGATGTTCTCAAAGGACTATCTGCATCCAGAACTCGGAAGGTTCCAAAGCCCAATGTGTGCACTGACTTGGTGGGCTGAAGGGGCTGAATTGTTGTTCCAGAATGTTCGAGAATTGGCCACTTATTGTTCGACAGGCGACAGCTATGCAGTCTATTGCAGTCCTGCCCGCTCTTCCCTGTGCAGAACAAGGGCAGAAACGCTCGTAAGTACCAAGAGGGCAGAAACGCTGGGACCATGGCTGCCATGGCCCACTAAGGGGCATCGAGCGCGGCCTCTTCAGCCCTGTGATGGCCGATCTGCACCCATCCAGTGTTGCCCCAAGTGTCGCACCAAGAAACACCATGAAGTTCACTGAAACGCAGTCTGTCCAAGCAGCGGAAAATACGTTTTCTTTACCATGCGGTCCGTACAGGTCGACCATTGAGGCACTGTTTCGGTTGTGCTGGCACTGTCAGTTCTGTGGAAAGCTCCTCTGCAGTGAATCCTGGGGCCCCTCGCCTTCCCCCTCCAGCTTCGGAGGCACCTGCTTGGACAGGTGGCTTCCGATGGGTGTGATCCAATCTACAGTCAAATGATCTATGTACGGAATTGTACAGATACAATAAAAACAACAAAATCACAGGTAGACATAGATGCAGAATGATGTAGAATGAGAATCCATATTAGAAAGACAAAGATATCCAGAACAGGTGTCCTTACTGTTGACTCAATACTTAAGCTGTCCTTTATACGGGTACTGTATCGGCCAAGGAGGATTTCCCAAGTGCTTCTTTGAAAGCGAATCCCCAATGCTGCGTGTGATGTCCAGCTGATGTCTGGCAAAGCTACGTGTGCTCGCAAAACAGCCTGATTCGGGAAGCCCAGTGTGGCCTTCGTGGTTGGCGGAGGAGGTGGCGGTGCATCCTCAACGGCCAGACTGTAATGCTGCAAGGGAAGTCTGACTCCCTTTGGACCTTGAACTTTAGCCAAAGGATATCAAAGGATTGCATTCCACTTTAAATGCCGTGCGTTCGGACCACTGTTGGTCGCGGCAACCCTTGGACTGAAGCTCCGCGCCAAACATCGCCAAACCATGCCGCTTAACGTCACCCATCCAGCGAATGATGTCGTCACACCCCCACAGCTACACCTCTGATGTCGTCTGCCCAACTCACCCATAATTGCTACTCAGTTGCTACCCAGGCTACTCTACTCCCCCTGTACCGCCCAGCCTCTTGGACCGCCTTGGACCTTGGAGCAGTTCACGTGATGACATGGGCAACTGTCTAAGTTAAACTAAAGCATGGGCACTGGGCATGTCCCAACTTGCTGTCCGTCCATAGTTTTCGATGACGTCTTGAATCAAGACCAACCCCCAAACAAACCCAACAGTTCAATCTGGCCCCCCAACCACGCAATTGCAAGAACACATGGTTGTGAGCTGTGCATGTCGTGTACCACTCTCCGCCCAAGGCTCACACCGTGGCGCTGGCCTTGATGGTTTGGGAGGCGCCTGGCGAGAGATGGGTCTTTGACTTACATTTGGAGGAAGAAACACTGGCAAGTAAACTGCAAAATTGAAGTTGCCCAAGTCCTCAAAGAGCAAATCATCACAACACAAAGTTGGACCCACTTCGCCTCTACATAGCCAAATTCACACTGTGGTTGGTAGCATTCAATGGAGGTGGACCAATTCTACAGCTCATCAGACGGAAGGTGACATTCATCCAAGCCAGAAATAACTCTGTCAAGAGCACCCAGGTCAAGAATTGCGTTTTGATAACCCATCCGCGAATGAGAGTCTCGTGCTTTTGCCAAATCCGGATCATATAACATGACAAGAACGCTGCATCCACCTTTTGCTCGGGGACCTCACTACCTCTTAGGACTTGGGAAGGCCTTAGAATTGAAGATTACGTGGTATATCAATATATCATTAGTTTCTGGATAGACCTATACTGTAAGATACACTGAATATATAAGTTTATCATTTTCTTGCCTTCTGATTAGTGGCGGAACCACTGCTCTCCGCCAAGTCTTGGGCAGCAGCAACTGATTGGCAAGATTGACGCTGGCAATAATCAACCTTCAAACAACTCTGCAAGCTGTCTTATTCACGTCAAACACATGAGTTTGCCAATTGCCACAAGCCATTGCTAAGCGCATCATGTTTCCACTCTGGTCCGTGAACATATAAAAATCGGAGCTTTATGCCACACTCAGAAGGTTCGAGTGTCCCGCCTGCACCAAGCCACTGTGGAATCTAACTATCTAGCCGACGGAAATCACCACAATTCGCCTGGCTCCCAGGACGAAAAGTGGTACATGTCAAATATGGTCGGTTGTCTGGTGCGCGGGCTTTCCACACAACACTTCCTTCTTGGCAGAGACATTGCCTGCCCTCAGTCCCAAACTCGGCCGCAAACTCTGCATTGCCCATGCTTGAGTCTGAGGAGGGCTTGCGTCGTTTATGGGGCTGTTGGTCAGCAAGTTGGAGAGAGTGGCACCCCGACATCAATGCCAAGCAGGCAAGCGAAGCGTGCTGCCCAGAAGGCGTTGGAAGCAAAGAAGAGGCGTGTGTGGAAACGCTGGCACGACAGCGCAAAACTTCTTGGCATTCACCTCGGCGCGCCACTCTCTGGCTCTCGCCCCTGACTCATGGGCGACAATTTGCCACCAAAAGGGTTGGTCCTCCTCTCCCACCAAGGCAATATCTGTTCCGAGCGGGCAATCATGGCGGCGCAAGCATTGTCTTTTTGCGCTGCAACCTCGGCAGTCGAAAGCTGCCAACGCTAAAGAGCGACATTGTGGGCACTTGCTGCCCCCCATCACACAAGTATCCAACAAAGATGGCAACCTGATGAGGTTTGGTTAAAAAAATCAGTCAGTCGTAAATAACGGCGTTTGATCGGCTTGATGAAGGTTTTGGGGCGCGCGTTTTTTTGATGTGAATGTGTTCTTGCAAAAACAGTATAGGGTGTTTGAAGATGTTGTCAACAATAGCCAGGTAGAGCCGGCATAAAGAAACATCAGCCGTTTCATGGTGCGGCTAGCTGGCTGGGACACCAGTACAACTATACTATACCATGGCAAACTAGGAAAGCAAAGAAAACAGCAAAATAGTTGAAGGACTGTAGCTGGGTTCAATCAGGAATCCTTCTCTAACTTCTACCTTGGCAGGGCTTTGTAAACCTCGCTGATCTAGGCATCCAAGTCATTGTCAGATGGCCAAAGCCTGGTGGCACTTTGCATCCACCGTTTTGGGGCTGCGGTGGTCTGATGTGTACATGCTTCATATTAGTGTAACGGCTGGTGAAACATCCCAAAAAAAGGTATCTATATTAAGCACTCTGCGAAATTCAAAAAAGATTAATCATGGCGGGCAAAGGGTTTTGGAAGCTAGAAAAAATGTTGCTTATAAAGGGTTATCTTTGTGACTTCGTGCAGATTTCGTAGCTACCGCAGCACTAAGTGAACCTCGGCGTCCTGATCTTAGCATCCGCATCATATGTGCAAGCCCGGTGGCCCTTAGCATCCACTGTTGTGGGGTCGCCCTGGTCTTGCGTCTACATGCTTTCTATGACTGCAACACGTGGTGAAGAAATTATATAATATATCTTAACTTTATCAAAATATTGAAAATGTGTTATCTTTGTTGGTGGTATCTTTATTGGCGTCTACATGCTTTCTACTACAGCAACAAAGACCATAGAAAGAAGCAAATTACGAAAGGGAATCAATACGCAACAAAAAGCCAAGCAGGAGACACGGCAGGAAAAACAACCCAAGCACAACACCAGCAGCAAAGCGAGAAAAGAAAAAGGATTCACAAAGAAGCAATGAAAAGCAAGGAAAAGCAACACAAGCATAGAAAAGCAGGAAAAGCAACAAGAGCAACAAGAGGCAGAAACAAAAAAACAAAACAACTTCCAACAAATACCCCTCCTTTTGGAAAATGAAATCTCCATGACTCCATGCCCAAGGCCTTGTTTCAAGTCGTACTAGTCGTAAAGTTTTTGCAGCACAATCTTGCTTTATATACTCAAAACACAAATCCTCAAACACATTCTGCAATAAAGGTTCTTTTGACTCAGACGTTCCCCATGAATGTGCAGTTCGTCGCCAATGTGCAGTTCTGTGCGAAGGCCCGAGTGGTCAGATCAAGTCGCAAGATTCAAGTGAATTCTGAAGCTGTGACTCCTATATTCTTATCATGTGGGACAGTGCATCGAGGACAATGAGCACTGAACTTGCTGGCTAGCCCAACTGGCCTGGAAAGAGTATGGTCCAAAGGGATCACCAATTTCAAGACGTGGTGTGTGCCTAGTTTGCTGTTCTGTTTAAAGGTTGGTAGTGAATCATCATGATTCATGATCATGGTCGTCAGGATGAGATGCCCATTATCACTGGCCCTCATGGACCATGCACTTCCCGAGCCTTTCTAGCATGCTCATCTTCCATCATTTTACCGCCACGGATTCTGTGGTTGTCAACGCGCGCCGCCCAAAATACTGCTGTTCAAAACCCAAGGGCCTGAGAAGTCCGCTCTTGACGGCCAGTTGATTCCTCGGCGTGGATACACTGCACGTAGTTAGATTCTATATGTCCAGCTTACATAATTAACATCCATCCAATATCACCAAGAACAATTATAAACGTTCCTCTGATTCCTACCCATTCAGAATCTTGTTATATCTGTTTTAAGTTGTCCGGTGTGCCCCAAAGTATCAAGGAGTGTACGATGTCATGTGGCTCGAAAATCCAAATTCTCAGGCCAACCCAATCAAGCGGGAGTCCCACCCAAGCAAGCGGATGTAGTATGCCTTCTTCCAAAGCTCAAGGCATGCAATTAGATTGCACATCGAACCCAACACGAGACCGAGAGGACTCTGGAATAACATGTTGAACAGCTTTAGATCCTGACAAACTGAAGCATTTTAGTTCCAATAATTCTGTAATTATCTATAGTTCCAATCAAGGACATCTTAGCCCTAGCGGAACCCTGTCAAAGCAATGGACCTTCAGGTAGGCAGGGCGTTTCAAGTTCAAAACTGCGATCAAATGGAGCTGAGATTTCACGCACTTGCACGTTGAGGAGGTGGTGGAGGCTCCTGCCACTAAAACGACGGACAGCCCATCCAAGCGGTCGTAGCACCAACGATACCAAAGTGATCCCAACAATACGGGCCCAAAGGGCGTCGGATAAACATGAACAATTGAAAAAATATATATATATATATTTATATAGAGTATGTGTATATATATATATATCAGAAGGTAGGGGCACCTTGCACTTATCTTCTCTTTTCATGATCGAACTGGAGGGCCTGTCTCAGGACGTGATGCGATCCTCGAACGAGGGTGCCGCAATGAAGATTTGACAAGTTCGATAAGAACCTTGGATGGATAGACTCTACTGTGTCTACGAAGCACTATACCTGGAGCTTATATAGCATCCCTGTTGTAGCAATAAGGGAGGACCGCCTGGTTATTCTTGTCAACCTGCCTTCCTTGGCCTCTATATCATATATATATATCCAGTGCAAGTGCACTGGACAAACACCAAAATGGTCCCAATCTATCGCTGAACTGCAGGTCTGAATGTCCTCCAAGAATTCAGAACCCAAATATTCGGTGCGCAGCCATCCGCACACTTTTTGGCGCAAAAGGACCTGCCGCAGTTGAATCTTCAGCTTCTTGCAGTTGCCACGAAGCAACAAACACCATACAATCCCGCCGACCAAATCCGATTGTCTGATCAAACCAACCCAACCAACCACATCAGGACCTCAGTTTCCCTATTTCAAGGTTGCTTGTTGGAGGCAAAGCACATGTCAAGGGAACACTAGTGGTAGAGCTGTTGTTTCGTGCTGCATGGACCGGATGTAAAATGAAGGAAGCCAATGCTACCGGTACGGCTATGAATGGTTTTAATTTCAAACATACGCAAACAAACGTGTTCACCCTCCGATAAGATTGCGGGCCGGACTTTCTGACTGCAAACCTTTGCAAGTTTGGTATGGGGTCCTATCTCGACTGATCAAACTTGAAACTGAAGTCGCACTGGGAACTGGCCAGCTCCTACACAGACAGCTTTCGCTGGAAGCTTGCAGGCACGTCTGCCCAATCCAAAGCCTTGGTCCAAGTGCCATTGGCATTGGTCTCTTTGACCTGGCTTGAAAAACACCATCTGGTCATCTGTGCTTCAGTCATCAAATACAACAGGCTGCTGAGGCACACCCAAACCAGAAACATGTTGGGACGATGTCAGAAATGTTAGCATCCCTGACCGCAACAATGTCTTTTATAAGCCGAGCCAACAAGCAGGGAATATGCTTCTATACCGTGTCATATCTTGTTTGAACACTCCCACAGTCACGAGTACCTACAAAGAAGCTAGAGAAAGTTGAAAAAAGTCCTCCCCAAAACTACTTACTTGCAGCTCGCATCTGATTCTTGATTGCCGCCTCTATTTTTGACGACTAAGCTGCACCCAAGGCAATTTTGGAGGATTGTTGTCAACAGCGCCTACCGTAGTCACCATGATCGTGCCGCTCGCCAGCGGCAAGCCAAATTTACACACGCACATGTCACGTTCCCCAATGGCACGGAACCGCACAAAATGCACTTTCCACCGAGGCCTCGCCAAACCACATGGGACAGCGACATCACCTATCAAGGTCTTTTCCTGCTAGTCTAATGAATATTCTCGTAAAGGGAAAAGGAGGAAGACCCTTCGGTTCCATGTTTCTAGATGTTTCCTGAATCCTAAAACGTTCCTAGGAGACTTTTCGACTTTTGAAGCTCTTCCCGTGGTCTTTCGGAATCTCCCTATTTGGGGGACATCCTGTTAAAAAGAACAACCCGACCAGAGCTTTATTCTTTGGGGGGGCGTGTCTTTTAATAGGTGGAAGGGATAAAATATGCTAGGGTTGAAGTGCTGTTGCCTTGATTCAGAATGCCAGCGTTTTGCAATGATTGGTTCTGCCGCTGTTGAGCTGAAGTGAAGGCACCTCGACGACCAGGCCAGGATGGACAGTCACCTGAGAAGAGAACTGCGGTCCCTCTTTTGAAAATATGCCTTGCACACATGGACTACATTACTACTTGGAGCAAGTAGCTACTAGTAACAAGGAGCTACTAGGAGCAAGTAGCTACAGAACCAAACCCTGCAAGATCGAAGTACCAAATTCCAATGTACCGAATTCCAATCGAGTCCTCTCCTCTACGAAGTCTTCTGATCCCAGGCATCCAGCCTGAGTCTTCTCGTACCCAGCGTAGCCGCCATGACCATCCTAAGGCAAATGCCATAAATTTAACTGGTTAATATCCCTGCTTGGAAGGACCAACATGCCCGACTAGTATATCATGTATAAATATTATATATAATATATATAATGTGTGTATGTCTGTATATAGAATTTTAATTCAGAGATGTCTGACCATTTTTGACCATATGTTTGACCAAATACAAGCGAAACCAGCTTTTCAAGAAAAGAAGTGTTCAAAGAACCATTTGCATTGAGCCTCCCCGAAATCCGGAAAGGGCAGCAAGTCGTACTCCCGGAGCACTTGTCTCCATTCCCTGCACATGCTGTGGCCACGCAGCTGTCAAGTCAGTTAAGCAATTTTCATCTAAGAGAGCAATCCCCACACAAAGCCCACTCCAGAGCCCCAAGAGTTACAGTACATTGCCTGCAGATGCCTGCAGTGTGCCAAGCTGGAGCACGGGAGGTCTGACGAGTCCAGGTTTCTGCCGTTTGTAAGTTGGGCGTCTAAGAGTCTCAAAGTTAAGATCTCTCAAGTTGGTCCATTGGTCCTTCAAGCGCACAACATCCTCGAAACTTGTGGCTGACTGTGGCCTTTTTGTATTCAAGCCCTCCAGATCTCTAAGAAACAACTGGAGGAGACTGGTCTCCAGGCCCTTCTCCAGGTGCGAAACATTGGCAAGCTCGCAGGGCAAACAAGCATATAAGAGTGGAATGGTGCTCCAAAAGGAAAAAGCACAAGTTGCTCACAATGAGTCACAGGTTGATGCAATGACACGACATCAAAATGTGTCTACTTTCTACTTTTGCAGTTGTCCGTGTATGACGTGACGCCGCCAATTCGGTTTGCACCTAGGTCTAGTTGCTTTGGCAACATACCAAGGTCCAGCATTCTTGCCACGTGCTGTTAGGACAGCAAAACTCGAGCACAGTGCCCTCCAAGCGCACTTTACCTTCCCAGGTACCTTAATTCCCCACAAATCGAGACACTCCTTCTATCATGCAAAGGATTCGTCTGCGTCCTTACTTCTTATCCTCAGTCATCACATCTGCAATAAAGGGTGCGTTACTGGATGTGTGAGAGGCATTCAATTGCAACGGCAAATCTGCAGGGATTCACAATGATTCACACCTTCACCCTCCGGCGAGCAAGTGTCTACCACTCGACTCTGGGGGCGGACAAGGCTCCTAGCAACATCCACGGCCTACCCCTCTTGCCAATCAAAAATGCACAGTTTGTCTACCTGTTTAGATCCTACCTGTTACTTCAAATGAAGTGGCCTAAAGTCTCCGCTCATCTTGGGGGGCACGAGCCTCGAGTTTTCGGCTCTGGCTCGAAGCCACGCGCCCAATTTGGGGCCAGCAAAGAAAGTTACAGTAGGAAGCCTACAGCGCTGGTGTGTTAAATAAAAAGAAATCAAAGAAATATATAAACATGAAAGGAAGCAGCAGTATTGTAGCAACTGTAGTATTATGTTCCAAGAACATTGTAATATAATATATATCATTATTGATCATATATCTATACATGATGCCGGTGCCTCACTGATATCACTTTCATGTTTCTCCTGTAACCAACTTCGGTTGACCCACTCAGGCAGGGAGCATCTACACCCACGACCAACATCCAGAGTGAGACCCTCACGGGACTTCAAGCCAATCCCCCTGCATCACTCAGGACATTGTTCACTCGCGAGCCTTTAAAACCGTAGGAGGCCTTCACCTTTGGGATCTGAAAACCCAGCTCAGCGGCCTTCATAAGCTTCGATGGCATGAATGTGGCAATGGAAGGCTTACGCGGCCTTTGAACTGTTGAGCAAAACCCACTTTGGTGTTGCTTCTTCATGCTGCCAATGGCCCTTCAGACCCTCGACTCAAAGCATACAAGCTCGCAGTGACTTGGCAATTCTGATTCCAATGAATTCCAGCTTCCTTCATCCTAGTTGGTCTTTACAATCAGATGTATCCTGTTCTCAGTGCCCAAATCACTGAAAGAGCCTTAGCATCCCTTCGTCCATCCATCCAATTTGCAGCTGTGGCCAAAAATGGAAAGCACCGCATTCAATCTCTGACGGCATATCACAAGAAAGGACCTCGGCTGGGCCAACTTCGGCAAGCTGCATAGACGGTTGGGGTGTGGTGTGGGTCAAAAAAATAATACAGGACCCTGCAAAACGTTCCAAAAAAGTGACGACAATCTTATGTAATCTCTTCCACGAGCTGTCCACTGATTTCAATGGTTTGGGACGGTTTGGGTCTTCAGTTTGGCTATGTTTGGCTAAATCTCTCAGATAATGATATGTTAAATTTTGCACTGCAGTAATTGTTTTTGCCCGGGGGGCCTTGATTGTTTGTAGTGATTGAAATGGAAATGTATCTTCAATTCACCCCAGTGTTCAAAGGGGATTGTCTGACAACTTTGGAAGGCCCTCTTCTCTAAAAATTCGAACCCTAACAATGTCTTTGATCAGCATCCCACAAGACAAGAGTACGTAGTCACTAGGGATCCCGGCTTGGAGGGGCTTGCATTATCTGGCGGAGTCAAGTCTTTTCCCACTTCTCCCTCTGGAACTAGACAAACATTTTTATGAGAAAGCTTTCGCTCCGAATGACTCTAATTGAAACTCTTCAATCCGACTCCTCTAGACCAAGATTGACCATTCAAAAAAAGGCATTGCCAGCAAGACTTTTAAACGTTTGGCAGAATGACATGGTCAGGGTGCCTCCTCCCGGAGAGATTTCACCACTTGGATGGCACCATCCAAATCCTGATCAAAGGAATAACAAAGCAAGCGAGACTGAGCAAGACGATCGGAATGCGCCGCAAGGTCTGGTTGGTACAGCTATATACTAGTAACAAGTGCATCGCTACTAGTAACAAGGGCATTACAGTAGTAACAAGAAGCTATTAGGTTGGAGGCCATCGCCACTAGTAACAAGTGCATTACTTCCACCTACATAGAGGGCGCCGTTCCAAGGCTCAAACGTGGGAACGAAGAGCGCGCCACAAGTCTTCAGCAGCTGCCACACAAAGAAATTGTAGCTCCCAAGCATGAGCATCCTGGCCCGGTGCCATTTCATACCCATGACATGGTGCTTGTCACGTGCTCACGAATCGCTACAAGACCGCTTCACTTTGTCCAACCTGGTCACATGTTCGCTGCCTCCCCCTAGTAAACTTGTCCACCTGTAGAACAAACACAAGACCCTTCAAGACCTGTTGTGCGTGTGTGCATAGTTCGGCCCAAGCTAGAGCACTCCAGTCGTCTGTAGTTGGTTCATGTTGGTGCGATGTCCACCATGGCAACATAAAAGGTAGCGCATCAGCATGTCCACTAAGACACTCAAAACAATGAATGCGACCAAGCACCTGAGCATTGCAAAAGAATTAAAACAAAAAAAAAAAACGATACTGCGGCCCATCGAAGCAACCAAATGCATCCAAAAGCAAGCCGGCTCGAGGAAGTACGACACAAACAAACAACATCAAACAGCAAAGCCATCATCTTCCAGACCCCGTCCAGGCAAACACCAGCATTTATATACGACGATTACATGCATGCTGCATGCATGTAAGGTTAACCCACTCGTGCAACTGTTGACGTTGTTCTGCTCGTCGTACCATGTAATTAATGCTTAGGCGATGCAAGCATGAATTGTGCACAGCACATGGGCAAGGGTCTCATTTGCAACACTAAATCTGACTCATTGACGACAGAACTTTTGAAATTAGGGTTTTAGGGTTTGGGGTTTAATGGAGAGAACGTCGTGACGGAGAGATACGCTGCGTCACAACCGAGCAACTGCGTCATGTCATATCCGAGAAAAAACGCTTTCCCTACAATGGATAAAACTCTGTGGCACCACACATGCCGGCGAAGTCCAGGCATCCATTTTGATCATTTTGTCATGTTGCAAAATGCCGTGCAAAAGTCATCACGCGAAACATAATGTCGAAACCTGAGACTTGTCTCGGTTGCACCAACGGTCCTATTTTGCATTGGTTCTGCAACTTTGCACCTGAAAATGCTCTCTAAAGAAGCACCTAAACTGTGGAGCAATCCCAGTCATTGAGAAATTCCTCCCAGTCAGGTCTGATGAACAGCGACCAGTGCGGCTCTGCTGGGGAGTTCAGCTTCCTTCGATTTCCATTGGCGGCGAGCGAGACATGCGGCCTGGGGGTCAAACTCAGGTTGCGCATCTGGGAGGCCTCAAGTCGGACGAAGAAGTGACCACACGAACTCGGTCGAACTCAGTCGTATACATGCATCAGGTGGGGTACGATGGGACAAGTACGATTGCAAAACGGTCGAAACGTATGGTCTACAAAAGGGCGTTGTTTGAAACCCTTTTCTTCCGATGCAAGCCTCAATTGCCTCAATCAAAATTCTACAGTATACAGTTAGTGTTTCAAAACATGTTAGTGGCCATCTGCCAAAAAATGACCAACTACAATGCTCGCTCTGAGGATCTGGTCTATGCATGCCAAGTATAGCAATGGCCTGAGCTCCTGGCTGAGATCTGAGTCGCTCAAGCACGGGGGATCCTGAGCTGCCCGGTTTCGGCAAGCGCCAGGCTGTTGCAGTCAGCCGCCAGCTGTTTTTGTAAATGTCAAAGGTTGTCTGACAGTCTGTTAAATGGATGTGTAGCTGTGAAATCCTCTTGGAAAATGGATGAAACTTGTTTTTCACTGGCAAGGTTTGCATGGTGACGATGTTTAGTTCGTTGATTCGTTGATCTTGCTTAGGATTCCATCCTTCAACAGGTACAGCTGTGCCTGGCAGAACGGGCCATCAAACGCGCTTGTGGGCCCTGGGCAGGTGGGCAGGTGATCTCAAGGGGTTGCAGTGGGGAGGGTGCAAATGGATTGCAAATGGTATAACCCTGTGCAAGGTTCGAGAATTTGGGTTCAGTGCAACCTAAGAGTATAAAGGTTTTGCATAACTTTAATCCGCTTGCCTTATCTTGCCTTCACTACAGCATACTACAGCATACTACAGCTATAGTCATCGGGATCACGTCTGCCTGCAGTGCTTGTCGTGCTGCAAGCACTGCTGCCCCATCCTCAGAACTCCGTGGGACTCAGTAGACTCAACCCCGATCGGAACGACGCAACGTGCCACGCCGCCCCATATCATCCCTTCGCCACGACCGCCCCTGAATTCGGCTTCTGCGTCTGCGACCCAAAAAGAGCTGCACTCAAGTTGTTTGTCATGCGTTTGCAATTCACAGAAGTGCAATCGCTCGAAAAGTCATGTTGTTTCATCTAAATCCCCTGTGACCCTGTGGCCTTTCAGATCTATGGCAAAGGCATACAAATGCCCTATTTGATGACCCTCCAACATTCTGATGTGTGCCAAGTTGCCCTCGGCCACACTTCCGGCATCTGCCTCGCTGTTAGATGCGATTTTCGAAGAATTCATGAGGCAAAAAACATCAAAAAAAACAAAAACAGGGCCTGTGAGAAAGACTCCAGAGCTTCGAGGCCAGAACTATGACATTCTTTTGAACTCCTGAATCTTCCTTGCAAACGAGGCTAGTTATCTGAAACTCAAGTCAGAGTAGTCTCTTTCATCTCTGGCAAAACAATTCACTCATGATCTGGCATATCCAGAGTCCAACACTTTCTGGATGCGGCACAAGAATACTTGTGTTGCCATCCCAAGTCCCACGGGTCACTTGGCACTTCAGGTGGCATGTCAACATGTTGATAAGCACCCCGGAGGTTCCTCCCCAATTCACAGCGTGAGTGTACACGATCAGGATGACTTTCTGGAGAACAACCGGGGAACAAGAACTCCAGCGCAGCATCGGGGCACAAGCTCGCCTCCAGACACATAGCCCAACTCTTTGCCAGCAAAGTCTTGGATTCAGCCTGGAATCGGCTGACGGCACATTTACAAGAGTTCATCAGGGAAACATACAGTATATAGAACTGACTGACAAGGGAGCAATAGACATCAGTAGACCACACCCATTTTCAATGCAAATGTGTTAACCATTCTTGCACCGTCAATCTGACTGCTTGTTGCTAGCAGTATACTTTTGGATGTCATGCATGTTCAGTCTTCTATCAAACCAATCAACATTATAAAAATGTCTGAATTCGTTTATATAGATCAAATAGCTGCCGTGTTTACATATTCTAGAACCATGCATTATCTTTATTGAAGGAAGTCCTGGCAAGTTGGCTATCGATCCCAGTGCACAAACTTCAATGGTTATTGAGATTTACCGCACTTCGCGTCCTCGCCCAAGAGAGACTCAACTTCTCGTTGAAGCAGCTCAACGCAGTACCTGCGCCACTTTATGTAAGCCATATGTGCCCATCAAGGCTTTGACAAGGCGACATGTAGGTCTTCTGAGCAAAAGCTACGCCCCCTAAGGTGGGAGCAACAATAGGATACTAGTATGATCTAAGTTGATTTAATATGTCACTTCAAAACACCACAAAATACTCGAAGTCTCAAGCCATGATCAACCCATGCCGTTATAAATCATGATGTTGTTTGATCTACTATGATCTACTGTACCAAGAGTAGGTTCATTGGTGTTCTTCATGACCATGTGCATGCTGCATGTATAGCAACATTACCCATGTCCACAATACATTCCCAACGCCTTTTGGGCAGCCACGCCTTCGTTGCCCAGCATATTGCACCACTTGTACCAGTGCTTCCATTGCCGCAGGTAGACGCTGAAGCTCCAGAAGCCTGGCGCTGCAACGTCCTGGTTGAACCCGCTACAGTAGCAAATCGGATCCTTAAACCAAGCAAACCCAATTGAGCTGAAGTGAGCTGAGGACCTCACACGAGGGATAAGTGACCCTCTGAACACGAATTAGGAGCAAGGAGTTGATGTGGTCATCCATACAGCCTTCTAGAAAAACACAAGTGAAAGCAAAAACAACGCATTGCTCGTAGGGCTGTCCAACCACCTAAGTGCAGGCAAGTTCATTCAATTTCGGAGTCCGAAGAAATCAGGTTCCCTCACAAAACCTCTCTTCAAGCATAGTTTCTGGTTCGGAAGGTTTTGAGCATGACGGGGGGCTACTGGATGTCCAATGATAGATGCCCATCAACTCACAGCAACCTCTTGCCCTTGGTTCTCTGGTGGACCCGGGTACAAAAGGCTTCCAAAATACCCCGCAGGTAAGAAATGAAAAAGGATTGGGCCCCAAAACACCCTTTCAGGATAACCAAAAACAAGACGACAAAGCATGGACTAAGACCATGGGGGCGGTGAAAAGAAGCCCCCCAAGTAAGCACTTCATCAAAGGACTGATGCTCATGCAAAACATTACGAACCCATGCTGAGTATCAAAGTGACTTGCAAGATCGGGCAGAGGTGATTTTGCACGTTCCGTTCCGAGAGTGAAGCTGGTGCAGAAAAGTGTAGAAAAGTAGTAGGAACCTTCTCGGTGCTTACGATTGCTTTGTACGTTTTGTTTGTGAAATGCAGATGTGGTCTGAGTTTCTTCAGGATGCACTAACAGTCCAACCACAAACAAATGTGGAGTGAAAGCCAAGCTGGATCGAACTGAAAGTGAAGAGAAGCCGAGCAAAAGCATCCGCATGACTACACATGCATCCGCGTTGGGGCGGAAGGAGTTGGACTGCATCACTGTCATATTCATAAGGTCGATTCACGCGATCGTTATCCTGAATCCAAATTGGACGTGTCACCAAAATAAGAAGCGTGAAGAAGCCGCCAGGACGCTGTTAGGTGGAGGCCATCGCAAGTAGGTTGGAGGCCATCGCTACTAGTAATAAGAAGCTACTAATTAGTAGCAAAGGGCATTTCTACCAGGAGCAAGGACGCTACTAGTAGCTCCTTGCATTACTACATATTACTACTAGAAACAAGAAGCTGTTTTCTCAGGTCATGGCCTTCAGACCTTGCACGCCTTGCGCTCGGAACAAATCTGGCACCTCCATAAGCCGCGGAAGAGTCTGAAATGCTCTATAGCCTTCCAGCCAAACGAGTGACGGGATTCGAGGCAAAAGGGAAAAGGACTCCAAGTAGTACAACTATTTCTGATCAGTCTAAGTAGCAGTCTAAGACCTAAGGACCGGAAGCTCTTCAGTCGCACCCTGGACCTGGGTAGCTCTCAAGACCTCATTAGGTCTCAACAAAAAGGCAACGGCTCAAGAACTGGGATTGGGTGTCCTTTTGCAGAGCCATCACACTATGGAGATGTTTCGAAGTCACTCGGATTCACAACTCAGAGCACAAGCCTCCCCACGATATTCCAGGTTGAGGGTCAATTCCTTTGAAATTCAATGAAATTCACACCCTTTGCCGATAAGAAGCTGCAAACAAACCAAGATCAAACTCAAGAGTCTGCTTTGCCCGCTGAAGAAACCCAAGAAGCACCTCACCAGTCTCGGACTGAGGCTGCGCTGAAGCTTCACTGCGGCTTCGGAGGTCCTGATGAGTTCTGCCAAGCTATAAGTCACCATCGGAAGCAGGAGCAAAAGCAAATGAGAATGGCTGAGGCCGAAGGAAGTCAAGGCATGTCATAAGCTTCAACTAGTAGCAAGAAGCTATTAGCAACAAGTGCATCGCTACTAATACTAGTAACAAGGGCATTACTATCAGCAGCAAGAAGCTACTAGTAACAAGGACATCACTACCTTCGACTTCTGACCCAATGGCCCTCCTTGAGCCCCACAGGCACTGGCTCTGGAGGCTCGTCCACCAGCCAGCTGAAAAGGTCCAGGCTGCTGAGGTCCTCAGTTGAGTTCAGATTGCTCAACATTGAGATGTGTTCTTTCTATGTTGGGCCTCAAAGTGAAATAAGGATCAGTTCTTGGGTCCCCACCAACTATTTGGGAATGGGTTGTGTCGCATTGTTCTAGTTCTAGAGTTTCAAAGCTACACTCAGTCACCCCCCCATGTACTACATCTGCTGATGAACTTGAACTCAAGGTCTTGCAGGATTGAATCAAAAGAAACCCGAGGATTGGGGGATTCGGGCCTTGCAGGGCTCATGACCCAGCTGCGTGGCATTTAACAAGTCCGTCAAGAGAAACAGCTTCGCTACTTTTGCGCCAATGAGCCAAGTGCTCAGAAGACTACACCACAATCCATTGTTGGGGTTGATTGGCTTGGACGAAAGGATTCTCATCTCGGAAGCCAGAAATGGATATACAGCTACCCTTTTGCCAACCTGCTAATCAAGCTGCACTTGCAATAAGGCACAAAAACTGCCATCCTGAGTTTCCTGCCAATTCCCAATCAGAAGGCTCACCAGACCTAGATCAACCGACCGCGCACGCCACTTTTTCGACTCCTTCGAAGTGGAACTAGCGACAGTTCCCTTTGTTGGCATAGTGCTTGGAAGAAAGTTGAAGAAAGGCTACTAGAAAGAAGAAGAAGAGGAAGAAAGCTTTGCTTCAGGATGTTTTCTCAAGATGGCTCTGCAACACAATTGCGACCTACCCACGGTTCATTTTACACGCCTGCTTCTAAAGGGTTCGCTCTTGAAATCTTGGCTTGGCTGGATTTGGTCGACTTGGTGCGAACGTTCCAACAGCAACATGTTATGTTTGTGCTTGATAGTTTGGGTATGACACACCAGGCTCAAAACAAATCCCTCTTCCTCAGCAAACGGAATGTCTCTGCCAAGCTGCGATGATGATGGTCTTTCCCGCCATGCCTGTTTGCTGCGATCGAGGTTGCCACTGGGTGAGAACAACAGCAGCAACAACAACTACCACTACCACCAGTCCTCCTCGTCCTCCTCCTCCTGCTACTATTCCTGCTGCTACCCTTACTGCTACTGCTAGTCCTCCTGCTGCTGCTTCTGCTCCTGCTAGTGCTGCTGCTGGTGCTACAGGTACCACTACCAGCCCAAAGAGAATGCGAAAAATCTTGATAAATGGGTAGCCCCACCCTTCGATGTGCTTTCTGGACACGCTGCAATCAAGCATGAGCTGACGTGGACAATCTTCAAGGCTTGTTCGCTGTGCTTGCCAGAAGCACCACAAAGACTTTTGGGCATGATGGTGCTCAATCTTTGCCAATCTTTGAGAAGCAGGATAGGGCCAATCCCTCGAGAATTCTAAAAAGGCTATCATTGGTTGCCAAATACTATACTGTACATTTATGTACAAATACTTTGGAGGCATGAAACATGATGCTTCTTTCAAGAGCTGCTTTCTCTGTTTGCACTTGATTTGCTACTTGTCCCTTGAATTGGGTAAATATAGAGAGATGCTTTGATTGAAGGCATCGGCATCACATACTTCATGGAGACCATGATTTTCAGCATGGTGTACTGGGGTTGGATCTAAGAGGCATTAACCACAGAGCATGATACATATTACAGTACTTGTTGTCGCAGAAATAACAACAATAACTGAGTTGGATAATGGCTCGGCCTTCTTGCGTTCTTGTGCCACCTGCACGGGTGTGCATCGGAAAAGAGAATAGCCTGTCCCTCCCCTGGACCCCCAAAACCACTTCATCAGCGAATCAGCGCAAGGAGTTTCACAGTTTCCCTGCAGTCGTGGAGTTTAGGGCACAACCAAAATGCACTACCAGGAGAGAGGAAGGGGGAAAATATGAAGCTTGTTCATTCTAATCCGAATCGCAGTGGTATTGCATGCTCTTGCTCAGTCCTTGCCCAGCCCTGTCAACATCACATTCGCAACAAGGACTGCCACGGTACCATACTGATCCATACTGTACCTATACATCTGTGTGTTCTCAGTCTCCCACGGTTTCGGGTTTGAGTTTTCTTTTCAATATGTGGAAATATTGGTCCAACCTGGCCCACCTGCCTGGACCACTTGCAGGTACTCGGTGTTCTGCGCACTTAAGCACAGTCCCAAGTGTCTCAATGGATGGTCCTGACATTTGTGTCTTGAAGAAGAATGTCCACACTTTGTCCATCAACAAAAACTGCCTGCTTGTGGTACTAATAAGTGAGTAGTCAGCTTGTCAGCTGCCAGAAGAGCACCATTCTCAGTGTGTAAATATTATGTGTGTAACTGTATGTATAATGAATAACTATGTCTCTCTATATATATATACAATTGTATAATGCATATCATTGACAAGTGCAAAAAGGTCAATATTCAACATGAACGACACCAATACGCCTAGCGGTATTCTATTCTGACCCAACTGAGCAATCATGCAAAATTGGACAGGCACAAAATTCCCACAAGGTCGCCATGGCGACTGTGCAAGGCTCTCCTGGTGAGATTTGTTCTCCATCGAAAAAATTGCCTTAGGCTCTTGCCGAGGAACACGCGCGCTTCGATTTCAACAGCTCTCCCCCCATTGCAAATGATACACCAGGGCCAGGCAGGGATAAGCGGGCAGGATCTGTTGATCCGTCTAAAGTAGGTCTGACCTATGGTCTAAAGGAACAAGAACGCTACTAGGAACAAAGGGCATCGCTACTAGGAGCAAGGCCGCTACTAGGGGCTCCTGGCCATACTACTAGGAACAAGAAGCTACTATAAAGGAACTGATTTCGGCCTTGGAGGCCCCATGATTTCCGAAGACCGGAACCCAACCGAGTGGGCACGGGGCACGCACGTTAAAGACGAGGGACATTGGGTGGTTGAGAGGGGGGCTTCACTTGGAATGTCAAAATGAAAGAAAAGAACACTTCACTATTTATACTTCGCTCATCGCATGGTGGTGCCCCGCGAGATCGAAATTAAGGATTCCAGTGCTAATCCGCACCATCCACGCGGTGACTCGGAACGGGATGCGAAAACCAATCGTCTGTTGGCTGGATGATGCATCTGATGCATCTGATGCCTCCTGCGACAAGCAGCTCCCAGCTCCCAATCGCATTCTGAGCCGGGGACCTCTCTCAAGAGCTTCGTAGAGTGTGCATTCGGAGTGAAAAGACTGCGGAACTGAGACTTACGCCCAGAACCAGCAATCCGTCAGCCCGAAATATCTCTGGCACAAAACTGATACTCCTGCAGTTGTGTGATGCTTCCTGTTGATATTGTTTTTGCCGCTGTGCCTTTCGGCCAAATTTCGAGAAACCTTGTTTACCCAAATAAGCTATAGTGCTCTAAAAGGCAATGTTGACAGGCTCGTAAGCAGTCCGTCTGAGATTCACCATGTTAATGTAAAAGTCTTGAGCTGCACAAACGCCACAGCACGACTCGTTCCAGCGCATGCTATTGTTGATATTGGTCTGGATTGTGATATGCGTGCATGCTGATGACAGAACTGACCTCAAGAAGCGTCAACTTCTTGCAATGAACAATGGAGTAGCTTCGCGAATCAGATTTAACAACAACAAGAAGAAGACAATGCTTCTGGCGGGCAACATGCCTTCTCTTCTCCTTATCCTGGCAGATTGGCGCGGCTTTACATTGACATACATCAACAAGGTGGAGAAATGGAAGCGATGTCAATCAACGCAACCCCACTGGAACCCACATGAGCGCTTGTGTTGATTCGCGATGCATTATACATTCATATACAACATATATTTATATATATATAACAACATATATATGTATATAATATATAGTATTCGTATATATATATTATATATATGTTGTTGTATACTGTCACAATTTGGGTCTACGTCTTGAGGAACCATTGGATCACACCAAGTCCTACCACCAGGTTGCGCGCTGGCCACTTTGAAAAATGGGACAGAGGGGCCCTAGGCTTGTAGCTCCAAACAAGTGTCAGCGGTCTGGGACTGAGGCAAATTTAAACGAAAACGGGGAAGAAACTGAACAGCTGTAGGTTCCTACGTCCACTCCACATTTCCTAAGGCAATGGAATTGTATTTGGGAGATCTTAATGGAGTTCGTAAAGGGTGGGTCTTGCTGCAGTTATGCTTGCAATGTAACATCTTTCTAGGCAAGACACCGTATTGAAACAGAATGTGTCGAGGGTTGATCCAGCGGCCCTTCTGCCTTCCCCATCTTAGTCGAAGCTTTCCGCTCCAACGTCTGGATGTTCTCCAAGGGGATCCAACCTTGCAGATCCATGAGGAGACAAAAAACAGTATGTCTGATTATTCTGCGGTTCTGCCTACAGTATCAACAGGCAAATCCGAAGGTCCGATGAACACTCTTTGCAGGAACCACAAACAACCCGCCGGTCGCGACCCATGAACCGCCGCACCTGTGTCACCACCGGGCTTCTCCGCAAAGATCCTCCAGTGGAGAAGGCTGGTGAGCGCAGAAACCGAGAAAGGTCTCAACATGGAAAACTATAAATATCCTATGTAAACTGTTGTGAGTGTAAAACCTCTTGTTTCAAGGCTGCGTGCCAAACATCAAAGTCTTATTGTTTGATATCATCGATACATACATCGTTCATGTCTCTCATGTGATCCTGGCAACATGTCTTTCCACGGCTCCACGGATGCTTTCCATCGGTGATCTTCTTCAAAAACAAATCAAAATGGGCAAGCAAGGGTTGAGATCCTGACTCCTGGTCAAGGTTGCAGTGCCTTCCTAACAAGTTCAGTCACCCACTTCAACCTCATGTTCTGCAACCCAAGCCCACGCTCCAGTAGCCAAGAATTCCGGAACGGAGCTTCCGCCCAAAGAAAAGTGTCACCCAAACATGCCAGGCATGTTGTGTCAACAATTTGTTATTGCGAATCTTAGACCAAAAGTTGAGTGTCGCACCAGTTCTGCTCGTCTTTGTTCTCAGGTCGCCCCCAATGTTCCACCTGTGCGATGTCACGCACACTGTCTGGCGACTCGAACAAAGTCCAACTTGGGATGGTCCGAGTCGCAATCCGCAAGTTTCGGCTGTAGTAGAATGGGTCTGCAAGGCACAAGGCATGGGGTTGCGTCTTGCACCAACACCAGTTCCGTTGCAGTGTGTGTGTGTGTGTCCACCCCTGGACAAAGGGTTTTCCACCGCCACTTCGTCCATGCTTTTCAATTACCTTTTTCAACCACCTTCTACAAGCAGGGGGGCAGAGAGGACTTGCAAGGCTCTGCCCAACGAAGCTCTTTGCAAGATCCTAGGAAGCGGAAGCTGATCACTTCCGTGTACCTGCTCGTTATCTCGCAAGCTGTTACCCTACTCTTCCACGGTTTGTTTCCATGGTTCTTCACCCCCAAACCTACTCGTCCCCAGCAGCTGCGCCGCCGCTCGTCCGCTGCTGTCGCGAGTCTGCAGATGCGCATCAACACTTTGTTGAAAACACCTTCAATTCGATCCGACTCATCACCTTGCCGTTGAGCCATTCTTTTTCTGGAGAAATTGAGTTAACTGAAAACCAGTGTCAGAGTGTGTTTCGCTCAGCCGTCCCACTCGGGTGCTGAGTGTGATCCCCGTCACAGGGGCGCCGCTTTCCACGTCGGTAAGCAACCAACCCAACATGCCACCTCTCACCGGATTTCCACTGGAAGTCATTGACACACCCTTTGAATCAACAGCTGCATTGGCCGCCGGGCCTAAACACGGTAACTTACTCTTCCACCAGCTTTCAGATCAGTCATACATGTTGTTTTACACGTGTTGCACTTTTAGATTGATGCCGTGACCTTTTCATCAGCAGAACTCAAGCTTGTACACTGGAGTTCTCCACTCTAATTCGAGATGCATGATCACACTTGACAACAAGCTCACACCCAGCTCAGCCTCACAACACACTCCCCGTCAACACGAGAGATCAGTTTTTCAACATCACTATGACAATACAACTTGGCACTTTTCAGCCGCATCTTTGCTGCTGCGCCGCGCCGTGCCATAGCGCTGTTTCTCACCACCAACGAGTCTCACTACGTCATGCACTTCCCCTGGCCATATGCTCACGCCACACCACCACCACTACCTACTCCACAACCTCAACCCACATGGCCGCTGCCGCAGCCTCCAACTGCACCCACCTTTCCCTCGCCACAACCATCGGCATTCCCTCATCCACAACCACAGCCATATCAAGTTCCACCTACTATGCCCATTCCAGCCACTACTGCACTGTCCTACGGCACTCCTTCCACCTGGACGATTGTGCAACCCACACACCCACACCCACACACCCAACCGCCACCGCAACCCACACACCCAACTCCAATGTTTCCATCCGCAGCACCTTCCCCCTCATACACGTTGCCACAGATACATCCCACACCCTGCTGAACCTAATCCCATCGCGCAGACCCATCCACTTCCAGCGCCACAACAAGCCACAGTTAGCCATCATCCACCCACAGACCCGCAATGCACCATCCCCCAAGGAGTTTGGCAACCTTACTCCGTTTTTCCCCCAGTTACACAACCTCCACCTCAACCTGGGCCTCCGCCGCCGCCTCCACAAGCCATCGGCACTCCACCACCAGCTCAACCCTCAATCCCACAACCAACACCATCGGACCTCACACCAACGGTCCAACATGTCACCACATCAGCCACGGACCCTTCCACACCGGTCCAAAACTTGACCATTTCAGCCGCTGGCTCCCAACCTTCCCAATCACCATCCGTTGCATCAGCACCACCAGCCCCTGCACCTTCACTACCTGCAACAGACAAGCCCGACAGCACCGCTTCCCCGGCACCGCCACCACCTTCCCCACAACCACAACACAGCAGTCGCCGCCACCACCATAAGAGCCGACGCAAGTCTGACCATCACCATCGAGGGCGCCACCACCACCGCCGTCGGCATCGACATCACCGCCACTCAAAGCACCACAGCACAACCCGGCGGCGCCGAACACCCTCTACATCCACTTACTCCTACAGCCCCACACCCTCTCGCAGCCGCTCACCACAACCCATTGACTTACGCCCCAACACCGAACACACCAACACCGACCCCTCTCAATATCCCACCACGGCGGTTCTTCGTCGCCCACTCAACCGCTGGCGACCTCCACCCAACTTTCCAGCTCTTTCACCAGCAGACCAACTTCTCAAATGGTTCGAATTCCACGCCAACCAACTCGACATCCCCAACCGGCCACAGCACCAGTACATCGCCAATCTCCTTACCGACTGCAACATCACCTACAAGGAGATCACCGATTTCCGACAATATACCCACGCCAATACTTAAGTGGAATGACACCACTCGTCAATACGACCAATTCCACTACAACGCCATCTCACTTCCCTTCCTCAACACAAAGGCCACCACACCTGAACCACCCGCGGTTTCTCGAGCCACCTCAACCCATCGGGAAATCGCCCAAATCAATGCCGGCCATTCAGGCCCCGTCGGCAACGTTTCCAACATTCTACGCCAAGGTCGTTTTTTACCGAGCACACTCCACTTTGCCAACTACCCTGGCTTTTTTGCCCAGGGAGTCCGCATCACCCACAATCAACCCCATGATCAAAGCGAGTTTGCTCGCATCATCCACAACACCTGGCAACTCCACAAGAACTCCCACTCCATCATCATCACACTCCTTGCTTGGGGCGCTGCCACAAAGTACACCTCCGGAGGAGAGGAACACGCCATGACCCTCCTCAACGATTACCACGGCGCCGTCTTTCACCAGAAAGGCCGCTGCTGGGTGATCCACCCGGACCACGCCATAGTCAAAGGACTGGCCTGGTCCACTAACTCCACTCCACCCGACATGTAACACCACTGTCCAACACCTCCACAACACTACCACCTCTACCTCCACCCTTTGTCTCACACCACTGCACAAACCTTTGCCTATGGCAGCGAAAAGACTTTTGCAGCGGCCATGCGACTTTTTGCGCCTTCAACTTTTCCAGCTTTGAATGTTATTTCTGCGGAATATCATTCCGAATTTTACCAGCATTTCAGATGATGTCTTCTTCACATGTTGGAGTTTTTTGCAGTTGATTTTTCAATCGGACCGGCACTGTTTTCAAACCATGCCCGCGGGAATTTGATGCTCGTTTAATTCATACGCATGGCCCCGTGATGACCTGCTTACGCTGTGCAGCGGCCGTCCTGCTGCCGTGCCGCGCTGCCGCAGCAACCTTTGACGACCTGTGTG